GACACACAGAGAGAGGACTCATACAGCACACAGCCCATACTGGGCACACAAAGAGGGGACTCATACAGGTACAGGTACTCAAACTGGTCCAGGCCAGTGGTGTGTACCTGGCGTTGGAGAGGTCCAGGTCGGTGGTGACCAGCATGCGGAATCCCTCCTCGCTGAAGAACAGGTTGTTGCCGCTGGACAGGATGCTGCACTTCCTGGACGGCTTGCCCCCGCTCACCAGCAGGAAGCGCTTGGGGTCAATGGATCCTCCTGCACACACAGGGAGCGCGGTCATGCCCGGTGCAGGCTGCACTAACTGCCTCCCCCTCCCTAACACACCTCCTTCAACCCCACACAACACAGGCTCAGGACCGGCACTGCCCGATTCCATTCCTAGCTACAGGAAGGAGAAAAGCTGTTATCAACACACATGATGTCTTAATCAAAGGACTGGAAGGGATCGAAAGCCACCAAGGTCTCCCACAACCCTGCTACTCTGACTTGTCATCATCCATGACATAACTTCCTGAAAAGCTGTCAATACCACAGGGAGCCCCCGTCTTCTCCTTGAGTTCGTCTTTCTGCGTCCCTCCTCGTCTTTCTGCAGCTGCACCCTGGGTACCACCCCTCTCAGAATGGGGGTCCTTACCTCCTTACAGATTCCTTAGATGTCCTTGGACTTAGACCTCCTGAGATCCAGGCTCCCAGATGGTTCAGCCAGTGGGTGCGCATCCCAAGACCGAGCTGACACTCCTGGCTCAGCTCTGTGCTAGATCACCTGCTGGTGGCACAGTGATCCCCCCACTGGCAACACCCACAGGGTCAAGCTGGACCTGGGTTCGGGTGGGACTTGGGATGCCCGGACTCCTTTCCACTTGCCAGGCAACAGCAGCTGAGATCTAAAGAGGTGCCTCTGAGCTTCAGTGCTATCTGAGAGTGTTACATCACTCCTGTACACTTCACAGAAACCTCTGTGCAGCACCAGACCAGGTGACAACAGGGATTTGGAATCTAATCTTTACGTTTAAATGCTCTGTAACTGTACCAAGCTCACTGGATACTGTAAATCCCTCTGGCATGTCTTGATATGAAAGCAAAGAAAGGTTAGAAATGAGGGGAGGCCCATCTAGCCCATTTGTTTCTCATCACTAACAGATCCCATTGATCCAATCTGGAGGATTAGAGGTTAGTACTGTATCATACTGCACGAACAACACCCAACACAGCTCTGAACCCCAGTCTGAGTGTGTGTGGATCTCCCTTACAGTACCTTCGAAGTCCTCCTTGAGGAAGTCAGGGTTGGGGTTGTCCCTGGTGCCGCAGGCCGGTCCCGAGTAGCCCGGATCGCAGACGCAGTGGGTGCCGCCCACGCAGGCCCCGTGTCCATTGCACATGTCCAGGCACTGCGGCCCGATGTACACATTGTCCAGTGCCCACGTTGGGGGAGGGGTACCACTGGAGTAAAAGCCCTGGTACCACCGGAACCGGACCGACCTGTACCAGGAGGCAGTGGTGAGACAGAAACAATGTATTTAGAGACAAGGAGACTGGGAGAGACAGTGGACAGATTAACAACGAGGCTTCTGACTAAGAATACAATGGAGATGCTGGAACTTCACATACAGCCAGAAGCTATATCACCCTGCAGCTCACAACCGGCAGCCCACTGAAGCTCCGCAGGTGTGAGTCTGGTTTTAGTGGGACCAGGAGGGGGCGCTCACCCTGCAGTCTGTGTGGGTCCTAATGCCCCAGTATATTGACTGGGACACAATACTGTAAAAAAGGAACCATTCTTTAGATGAGACATTAAACGAAGGACCTGGCTCCCCGTGGTCATTAAAAATCCAAGGGCATTCCTTGAAAAGAGTAGGGGTGTTACCCCAGTGTCCTGTCCATATTTTCCCCTGGCCTATACCAGTCATGGCCTCCTAATAATCCCCAACTCTGAACTGGCTTTGTCACTCTGCTCTCCTCCCCACTGAGAGCTGGTGTGTGGGGAGTGTACTGGTGCACTATGGCTGCTGTGACATCATCCAGGTGGGGCTGCACACTGGTGGTGGTGGAGGGGAGCCCCCATTACCTGTAAAGCGCTTTGAGCGGAGTCTCCAGGAAAGCGCTATATACTGTAAATGTAAGGATTATATACGTGATTTATGTAACGCAGCGCCTGTACAGCAGGTGTTGAATCTAAGCAGGTGTGAGCCTGGTCAGTACCTGGATGGGAGACTCCTGGGAAAGACTAAGGTTGCTGCTGGAGGAGGTGTTGGTGGGGCCAGCAGGGGGCGCTCACCCTGCGGTCCATGTGGGTCCTAATGCCCCAGTATAGTGACGGGGACACTATACTGTAAACAGGCGCCGTCCTTCAGATGAGACGTAAAACCGAGGTCCTGACTCTCTGTGGTCATTAAAAATCCCAGGGCGTTTCTCAAAAAGAGTAGGGGTGTAACCCCGGCGTCCTGGCCAAATTTCCCCATTGGCCCTTACCAATCATGGCCTCCTAATAATCCCCCTCTATGAATTGGCTTCATTACTCTCTGCTCTCCTCCCACTAATAGCTGGTGTGTGGGGAGTGTACTGGCGCACTATGGCTGCCATCGCATCATCCAGGTGGGGCTGCACATTGCAGGTGGTGGAGGGGAGACCCCATTACCTGTAAAGTGCTTTGAGTGGAGTGTCCAGAAAAGCGCTATATAAGTGTAAGCAATTATTATTATTATTATTATTACAGCACTGTTGGCCGAAGCCACTGCAGCTGGAAGCGAGCGCGGCTGTGGCCCGGCCCTCACCCGCACAGCCGCAGCTTCCCGAAGTGGATGACCTCCCGGCGCCAGCCCTGCGTGGTGCCTGGGTAGTAGACGCTGGCCGGGTGCATCTCGGTGGAGCACAGCGAGCTGAGCTGAGGACCCCCCTGGCACAGCGGCACCAGGAGGTGCCAGGTTGCCCCGAAATCCCTGGAGAACTCCAGCCGGGCGGGGTGAGCGGCCGAGCTGTCCGAGGTGCAGCCCACGTTGATCTGGGAGGCAGAGGGGGAAGAGAGAGAGGGAGACGGGCTCCTGAGACCCTCTCACATGCTTGTGTTACTCAGTGCGATTTCCCTGAGCTACTCGTTTCTGGCTCCTGTAGGGTGAACACATATCGTCATGCACAGAGGATGTCAAATAACATTCTCCGTGGCTAAGGGTCTGCGCCTGTGGCTGGAAGGTTGTCGGTTCAAATCCTGCGGCCGGCAGAGGAATCGTACTGCGTTGGGCTCCTGAGCGAGACTCTTAACATTGGGCGCTGTACAATGGCTGACCCTGCACTCTGACCCCAAGCTCCGGTCTGTGTGTCTAAGCAAGCTGGGGTATGCGAAAAGACAAATTCCCAAAAGCAAGAAATTGTATATGGCCAATAAAGTGATCTAATCTTATCTAACTGTCTAAACCATTAAAAATAATTATAATCAGTCCAGACAGCAGTGTGTGTACATGTGGTCAGAGTACAGCAAGCAAGGTCAGGTGGTTTGGTTCATCTCCTGTGAGCAGTTTCATGTTGGGAGACAAAAAAAAGAGGCACTAGCTTTAAAGACTTATTTACACAAAATATTCATTTTTTTTTCTACAAAAGCAGAGGTTCCTCGCGGTCCATCACCTAACACAGAAGCTTCTCACACTCGCCGTAACCTTGACTTAACCCTTTCTAGCTAGCCAGTACTTAACGCTTTCCTAGATCAGGCGAGTCTGCTTTCACTAAACAATTACTCCCCCAGTGTTAGCCGGCCTTGTAACCCAATGCTAAAGAGGAGAAAAACTTTGCCTTGTGGGGTTAAAAGGGAAACCTACACACTTCTTGCCAACACGGAAATACAACTCCTTCACCAAGGTCTTATTTAAGTCCTTTTAGTGCTCAACAGCCATATACAGTTCTGAAGTTCATTCTCCTGACCTGTTGCGCCTCCCTCCTGCTATAACCTCCACATACTGTACTGTCCCAGCTCGCTGTTCCCCTGATCCCTGTC